ATGACCCCTTCATTTTCAACTCACCCTGTGCCTATCTGTTTATCTATCTATCTATCTATCTATCTATCTATCTATCTATCTATCTATATCTATATATACATACATATAACTTTTTCCCCTCCAACTACCCTAACACTGACAAAGGTCTCATGAGTTACAAATATCATCTTTCCATGCAGGAGTGTAAACAGTTCAACCATAATAAGTCTCTTATGCTTTTCTCTTTCCTGTTTACCTCTTCATGTTCCACTTGAGTCTTGCATTTGAAAATCAAATTTTCTATTCAGCTCTGGTCTTTTCATCAAGAATGCTTGAAAGTCCTCTATTTCACTGAATGATCATTTTTTTCCTGAAGGATTATACCCAGTTTTGCTGGGTAGGTGATTATTGGTTGTAATCCTATCTCCTTTGCCCTCTGGAATATTACATTCCATGCCCTGCAGTCCCTTAATGTAGAAGCTCCTAAATCTTGTGTTATCCTGATTGTGTTTTCACAACACTTGAATTGTTTCTTTCTGGCTGCTTGTAATATTTTCTCCTTGACCTGGGAATTCTGGAATTTGGCTACAATATTCCTAAGAGTTTTCTTTTGGGGATCTCTTTCAGGAGGAGATCGATGGATTCTTTCAATTTCTATTTTGTCCTCTGGTTCTAAACTATCAGGACAGTTTTCCTTGATCATTTCTTGAAAGATGATGTCCAGGCTCTTTTTTTGATCATGGCTTTCAGATAGTCCAATAACTTTTAAATTCTCTCTCCTGGATCTATTTTCCAGGTCAGTTGTTTTTCCAATGAGATATTTCACATTGTTTTCTAATTTTTCATTCTTTTGGATTTGTTTTACAGTGTCTTGATTTCTCACAAAGTCACTAGTTTCCAATTGCTCTATTCTAATTTTTAAGGAAGCATTTTCTTCAGTAATCTTTTGGACTTCCTTTTCCATTTGGTCAATTTTGCTTTTTAGGGCATTCTTCTCCTCATTGGCTTTTTGGACCTCTTTTGCCATTTGGGTTAGGCTATTTTTTTTTAAGGCAATTGGGGTTAAGTGACTTGCCCAGGGTCACACAGCTAGTGTCAGGTATTTGGTCCGAGGCCAGATTTGAACTCAGGTCCTCCTGACTTCAGGGCCAAGGCTCTATCCACTGCACCATCTAGCTGCCCCAGAAGTTCCCCTCCCCTTTTTTGGGGGGTGAGGCAATTGGGGTTAAGTGACTTGCCCAGAGTCACATAGCTAGTAAGTGTCAAGTGTCTGAGGCTGGATTTGAACTCAGGTCCTCCTGACTCCAAGGCCAGAGCTTAATCCACTGCACCATCTAGCTGCCCCCCCAGGCTATTTTTTAAGGTGTTATTTTCTTCCGTATTTTGGGGGGTCTCCTTTAGCAAGTTGCTGACTTGTTTTTCATGATTTTCTTGCAAAACTCTCAGTTTTTCCTCTGCTTCTCTTACTTGGTTCTCAAAATCCCTTTTGAGCTCTTCCAAGGCCTGGGACTGATTCAGATTCTTCTTGGAGGCTTTGGATGTAGGAGCTTTTGACTTTGTTGTCTTCTTCTGGTTGTATGTTTTGATCTTCTTTGTCACCAAAGTAAGATAATATAGTCTGACTCTTCTTGTGCTGCTTACTCATGATCCCAACCAATTACTTTAGTTTTAAACTCTTTGTTAAGGTAAAAATCTGCTTCCAATGTGGGAAATGTACTGTCCCAAGCTTCAGGGGTTTATACAGCTGTTTTCAGAGACACTTCTAGGGACCCGAAAATTTTCTGTTCTTCCAAGGTACTATGACAAGGGGCGAGGTGTTTCCTATCCACTGCCACAACAAGCTTCACCACACCAGCATTCCTCCTCGCCCCAGGACTGCCCCTCAGAACTGCGACCCAGATCTAAGCACAGGTAAAGCAATAGATTCCTGCCTCAGCACTGGCAAAGAGATCCCTGCAATCCCGCTCTGATCAGCCACTCGATTTCCCCCTCAGCCTGTGGGCCCAAAGCTCAGGAAACAGCTGTGGCCCCAGGCCACGCTTGAGACTTGCGGCTGAGACCTAGCTCCTTCTCTCACCGCAATCACAGACTCTTCCCAGTGACCTTCTAAGTTGTCTTTGGCGTTCATGGGTTGAGAAGTCTGGAAAACACCACAGCTGCCCGTGATTCAGTCCTCTGAGGCTTGCTCCTGGGTCACTGCAACCTGTGCGCCCATGCCGTACTGTGCTCCTCTCCCCGCCCAGAGTGATATACCTTTCTGATCAACCATCAAGGCTGTCTTAGGCTGGAAATTTGTTTCACTCTGTCTTTTTGTGGGTTCTGCTGCTTTAGAATTTGTTTAGAGACATTTTTTATAGGTATTTGGAGGGTTTTGGGGGGAGAGCTCACACAAGTCACTGCTTTCCCTCCTCCATCTTGGCTCCACCCCCACAAATCCCAGTTAACTTTTTGAGCACAGTCTCAAATTGCTTTTTTGAATGGCTAAACCAATTCACACCTCCACTAACAAACAGTGCACAAATTGGCATGTTTTCTCACTACCCCTGTAATGTATTAAAAAAAAATGTATTGCTTTTAACAACACTATCCTATGCCTAAGTGATTATTTTTAGTTAAAATTTTTATATAAAATAACACAATTTCAAAATGTGAGAAATACTCAACAAAAACATTTTTAGTATCTAAAAAACTTCATATTCATTTTTTCCTTTATACCTATAAACCAAGTTATTATAACTATTCACATGTCCTTTCCTCAAAAAAAATTTTATCATCCTGGTATGAGAGAGAAGTGGATTAAGAGTCTAGAGTGCTTAGTTCTAAGTCCCCATTCTACCAGTGTTACAAATTCTCTGTGTCTATAGAGGAATAAAAAATGGGGGAAGATATAGAGAGTTTTTGAAGAATGAAATATGGAGATGAGATTAAGAGAACCTCACGCAGGGTGGCCTTGACATTCAGTCAAGAAGCATTTTTTAAAATGCCTATTATGTGCTAAGTGTTATGCTTAGCTCTGGAGATGCAAAAAGAGGCAATAAACAGTCGCAGTCTAATGGGAGAAAAAGTGCAAACAATCATGTACAAACAAGACATAGAATAAATTGGAAATAGTCTCAAAGTGAAGACACTAAGGTTAAGTAGGACTAGGAAAGACTTCTTGTAGAAGGGGAACTTCAGCTGAGACTTAGAGGAAGCCAGGAGGAAGAGATGTGGAGAGAAAGAATTCTAGGCTTGGTAAATAGCCAATGAAAATGCCAAAAGTAGTTAGATGGAGGGTCTTATGTGAAAAACAGTAAAGAAACCAACAAAAGGGAAATTAAGAAGAAAAAAGAGTTTGGGGAGTAGGAGAAAAAAAAAATGAGTTCAGTTTTTACCATGTGTTTAAGAAGTCTATGTTACATCTAGTTCCAGATGTTCGATAGGCAATTGGATATGTAAGATTGAAGATGAGAACAAAGGTTAGGGCAGGAAAAGTAGATTGAGGAATCATCTTTATAGAGATGATAATCCATTGGAGCTGATGAGGTTCTTTAATTCATCCATCCCAGTTATCATCCCTTTTGTGGCTAAACCTCCCAGAGAAGGCCATCTATAATAGGTGCTTCCTTTTCTTTTCCTCTAACTCTACTTAACTCTTTAAAGTCTGGTTTCTGATCTCAATATTCAGTTGAAACTGCTCTCTCCAAAGTTACTAACAATCTTTTAACTGCCAAATCTAACAGCCTTTTCTCAATTCTCATCCTTCTCCAATTCTTTGTAGCCTTTAACACTATCACCATCTTCTCCTTCATATTCTCTTCTCTGTAGGTTTTCATAATACTACCCTACTCTGGTTCTCCTTCCTGTCTCACAAGTCCTTTACTGTCTCCTTTGCCGGATCTTCAGCTAGGTCAAATCTGGTAACCATGGGTGTTGCTCAGGGCTCTGTTCTGTGAGCCCTCTTCTCTTCTCCATTTGTGTTATTTTATTTGGTGATCTCATCATTATTGACTTACTATATAAATAGTATAGAGGGGAAATAGAAAAAGGTCCAAAACAGAGTCCTAGTAGATGGCCACTCTGCAAAGGAAACTGAGGAAAAGTCCAACAGGTGAATTAAGGGGCTGGACTATGGGACCTCTAAGGTAATTTCCAACTCAAAATTCTATAAAATGAGTAAGGTATTTCTACTATATGAAATCAAAATATGAAAAATTACTAAGTGCTTACATAAGTAACGATGAATAATTTATAAAATGACCACAGCTTTAAAACAGAAAATATGTAACTAAACAATAAATATTTGTCAAATAAATTATCTTAAAATATTTATCCATCTATCTAGGTATAAACAATGTTAACTCTACCATCACCATTTTATCACTTGAAATAAAAACTACTGTGCATATCAAAGTACTTGTGAACATTTTTTTAAACAATGTAAAAATTCTGATATTTAAATAATCTATGCCAAAAAAGAAAGGCCTTCACATAGAAGGAGAAGTAGCGTAGGAAGGAGAGTAGCGTAAAATTCATAATAAAAAATGCTATTGAGTTGTAAGTTATTCTCAGTTTGAAGAGATCCTCCAAATCAGAGCTATTACACTCCCAAAGCACTACCCTGGAACAAAGATGAATCTACCTATTACCAGGTTAGGATAGTAGCTATTATCATGGCCCCTTGATTTCTTTCAAGTAGCTCCAATGGAAAAAAGCCACAAATGAATAATAAAGATCTCATAATAGCTCTTAAGAATTCTTCATAAGGTAGGAGGCACTGAAATGAACTCTGGAGAGTTAAAGAAGTCTCATCTCCTGATAAGAAAAAAAATAATTAACTTGACTTAATGTAGCTGAGTAGGCCTTATATAAATCAGACTTTTGTACTTCAAGAGCCAGATTAAAACCATATATCAAAAAAGTATGTAGATATTGTCTTATAAGTACACATGGAACATATCTAAATCTTCAGAGGTCTGCAGGTCTTCTTTGTGAAAAAGCTCAATATAACCTACTTAAAAGGAGATGTGCGAAGTACTTACAGTGCTTAATTTGCTAGCAGTAATGATGATGCGCCTCTCATGTAACATACTGGCATACAGTTGCAGCATATTGTTCACATCCACAGCAACAAAATATTCTGTAAGATTTCTCTGGATGAGTAAAAAAAAAATACTCAGTTACATGTTAACAGGGGTTATAAAGCGTATTTTTTTGTATCTGTATAAAAAAGAAATCAGTTTTTAAAAAAAATAATCTTAAGAACAAATAGATATTCATCAAAGTAATACTATTTAATATTACTTTATTGCCTGTGTCAAATTAGGAAAACTATACTACTATTGTACAAAAACACACATATTTACTTTATAGTATACTGGGAAGCTTTCCTAGACTGATGTTTGGGGGGAGTCTTTTGCATATTAGTGCTACATAAAATCCCTTGGATTCAATTCATGAAATCTCCCTTAGACTAAAATCTACAGTATATTAAGCAATACTTCAGGGAAGTTCCAGTTATTTTTCCCAAGTACTCCTCCCCCAATATAATAAACTTTACTATGAATGTATTTCAACGCAAAAAGGCCTTTCTCATGCCCACCTTTATAAATGTGAAATTCCTTCCCTAAAAGTATTAAAAATGTTAAGTATGACAAATATTCTTTTTACATTAAAAAATCCTAAGTTCAAGCAAAAAGCAAAAAGTGAAGAAGAAACTGTCTATGGTAGAAAAGCAACCTGACAATAGCAGTACCATACAGTGAGCTCTAACTTAAACAGTGTTGAATTAAATCAGAAAATAAGGCAGTTAAATGTGTAGTTGTCAATTACTACACAAACCTCCACCCCAACCCCATGGAACTATATAGTTCACCAGCACAATCTAGCAATGTTAGCAATCATGAGAGAGACCAAACCTCTTGTTGTATGAAATAATTTAGACCTGAAGGGTCAGTGATGAACAAATGAAGATGGCTGCTGATCATCTTTGACTCAGTCACAAAAGATAAATGCAAAAAAAAAATTAGCTTCTTAGAATTATATAGCACTTTATACTTGGAAGGCACTACAGATTTAATTTAACCCCTTCATTTTAAAGATGAGGAAACAGGTTCAAAAAGTGAGAGACACACGGCCAGTTTCAGATGAGGGATTAGAGCCTAGATTTCCTGACTCCTAAGTTAATATAGCACACTGCCTTTGAGTTTTCTGCATTTAAATTCACTACATCTTCCAACCCAACTGGTCCATTTTCGAAGCTCTTCTTATGACTTTCCATTTTGTATACATAAAACAAATTTCAAGCTTTAAAGTATTATAAAAATGTCAAGTATAATGATAATTACCAAATGCTGATTATTTAACCTGTACTTTTAAAGATTTCTACCAGATGCATAATCTAAATGTTAAATTATATCTACAAAATATGAAAAGCCCTAGAGGAAGTTTTCCTAATCCTTGAGTAGAAACTATGAAAGGACATAATCCATGTCCTTTCAACTCCCACAGGATGGAACAGCATGAATGGGCTGTGATCTCCACTGGTGAAGAGAGCAACCAATTGTTTAGATAATAGTTTTACATAAATATCAAAGTACTAAATTGGGAATTAGTTTGTATATGGGAGTCATTTATTTGCCTGTCCTTTTTTCACTCATACTCTTCTTATTCATATATAACTAAAATACATAATTTATTGTGTTTTAAGTAAAAAATAATTTATTACAAATGTGAAGGTATATATCCTTTGTTACAGTTTGCTACAGTTTTTGTTTGTTTTAAAGTTCCAGAAAAGTAGCCTTTGCTGGGAGGTGTGGGGTTGGAATAATCTAAATAGCTGAAGCAGGTAATTAGCCTTCTCAGCTGTACATTTATTTGTCAGCAAAGGGGAAGGCTGGGGTTGGGGGAGGGTAGTGACTAGCATCTGCCATTTGTAACAGAGAGAAACACACTGCAGTGAAGGGGCCAGGGTGTATAAGTTGAAGTATTGTCAGGCAGTCTCAAGGGAAAACGTTAACAGGCGGTAACTGGCCCATGATACACAGTACACAAGGGTTCAGAAACTATTAAGGGATTTAAGGGCTTTGATGGGCTGTCTCAGATCCACAATAAGAATACAGGGATCTCTAAGCAGCTTGCTACACAGTTTTTACAGATGGGTTATTTGGGTTTGGCAGATCCCAAAACTAACACATTATGGTTATGCTATTTTTTGTCTTGGTATTAATAAACTGGCAACTATAGAATATTATTTATAATTTTTCTTTCATTCAATAAAGTCGTCTACCCTTGACAAATGTAATTGGACAGTGGGGAAAGAAATCTGTAAGATTGGATAAAATTTTTTAAAGAACAGAAGAACAAAGGAAAACCTAAATAAATCAGATAGTATTATTATTGCCTTGTTTTCCTTCAGTTATGTTTCCATTTAACTATTTTTGTTGTAACTGTTTTTCATTTTCAGACAAATGGAAAAATTATGCAAAAAACAGAAAGAGAAAAAGTTTCTTTTTTCCTTGCAATTACCCAAAAATAGACCGCCCTTCCCCATACAATAAACCCTTTATTAAGTTTACTCTATAACCTGAAACATCATGGGATAAGCACAACATTTTACACTTGAAGAGACATGAGCAAGGAAAAGAAATGAACAATTAGTAGCAATGCGAAGTATTATTCCATATACAGAAAGCTACAAATGCTACAAGACCTAATTTTTAAAAAATATTGTAGTACTGTAAAATTTCCTGAGTTAAACATTTTAAATGTCAACATTTTATGTTTTGTTTCATTTAAATCATAATATTTTGCATTGCCTTACAAAATTCAAGACCTAAAAAAAGCTTCTTATTTAAAATTAAAAAGGGGAAATCATATCACAGAACATGAATGATTTCAATATAGTCTAATATAGATATTCAAAAATAGGGTGGTCATGTCAGAAATTGCAAATGCATTTTTCTATCTTATTCTTTTAATTTCTCTATTCATTCCTATACATTAGAAACAAAAGCTATATATGGAGTAGAATGAATCTAATCTAATTGATAAAAGAGACATTAGGAAATAAAGAAAGAACAAGCATTACTGCTCACCTGTCCTAAATAAGTGGAAAGTAAATCCTTTTTATACCCTTACCCAGATTGAGACATACCTAGTTAATGTGAAAAGGAAAAGAAAATTGAAAAGGAGGGCGAGAGCCTCAGGAATAGAACCAAGCTTCTTAGCTTCTGAAGGAAGTATCTCTTCCCTGAGCATAATGTCTCCTTGAAATATCTTACAATGTTTTTTCAATCCCTGTATATCAAATTCCATTTCCAAGCATAGCCAGGACTAAGGCTAGGCAAGTAAAATTACTCAGTACCATGCAATGTATAGTGGGGCACACGTGATGAAGGGACTTATTATTATTCATTTTAATAAAGGCACATATTTTCTAATGTCAGGAAATTCTACTCTGCAACATATGTAAGTATTTACTTTGTGATAAATCAAGCTGAATGTGTTACAGTGAAAGCTCAAAGGTTTCACTAGACATAGAGGGAACATAATTTTCAAGCCTTGCCTAGGGCACAAAAATGCCTTCTCTAAGCTCTGTTCACAAAATTTCAAAAGAGATAATTGTTTTGAAAATACTTACACTTTCAGGTATTGTTGGTAGTCCAGTTAAATCAGGGGCAATGAAGTAAGACTGCTAATCAATAAAAAAAAATGTAAGTAAGAACAAAACACAGTAAATGCATTTAATAAATATAGTATAGTATTACATACAATTGGGGCAGGAGTAAAATCAAAGAAATTACCCACCAAATTAACAAAATGCTATTAAACACCACAAAAATTTCATTGAAATTAAGTAATTCTTAAATGGCATAGCAAAGTTGAGAGTGAGAAGTAACAGTAAGTCTCCAGTATAAGGGATTAGGTGTTGGTGATAAATCAGTTCACACTTTAAAAGCAATTAAAATCAACCAAAATAAATTGAAAGAAGGAAATAATTCTGACAGGAGAAAAGTTTATTAAGGGAAAAAGTACAAGATTCTCATATGTTGATAAAACACATTAACTTTGGAAAGGCTCACAAAATAAGAATTGTGACTCATTAAGATACCAAGATCTTTTAAAACTTTTGTCCCAAAGCAATTCATATGAAACGATGGATGACTGTAAGTGTGTGTAATACACACAGATGCATATATATTTATGCATATACATATATATGCACATGTATATAGACATATTACAAACCACTGTTTAAGTAGCAATAAAACAGTTTTAACTAATTGAATTAAACAGTTTAATTTCTGTATTAGAAAGTTTTCATTGCTCACTTTGTTTTCTGCAAGCCTTTAATTCTAACAGCTTGGAGAAAAGAAGGATAGTTTATCACTGTAATGTTTTCTTCATATATATATGTATGTATGTATGTATTTTATATATGTAGGACAAAAATTTCTCAACTTTAAAACATTTACCACATCATATCAATTTCTGAAATAACTTTAAATGTAAAACTATCATTTTTTTGTTGTTTTAAAACTTCTTGGGACTTGTAATTAAACTTCAAATGTGAGTATAAGATATTAAAAGTAAATTTTTACCAAAAAAATTCACTCATCAACAAATATTAAGCATCTACTCTATTAAAGGTTCTGTTTTTGTCAATTGTTGGAAGGCAAATATACAGTATAAATAGAAATATTTATAGAAAATAGTCATGACAAATATCGATATACAAGCAATACCACCACCATCAAAAAATTATAACCTGAAAACAAATTATATCATAATTAGTAGAAAAGTTTTATTTTCTGTTCAATTTCACAAACAAAACTGTCTTATTTCATTCTCATATAAGGACACAATACTTTAAAACAAATTTTTCACTATTGGCAAAAAAAATACTTAATAATGAGCACAGTACTACATGTCAATCAGACACTAAATAACAGTCAAAAGCTATTATTTTCTGATGAGAGGGAGTAATCCAAAGTATAAATTATCAAAAGATCTCTCTCAGAGTTACAGCAGATCTTAAGACAGAAATATAACATGAAATATAATAGGAGTCATTAGTACACAAGTTATGTTTGTTCCTCTTAAAAGGTAGAAGTGAATATCAATATGGCCTTCTAGTTAGTTTGATTTTATTTTAAAAATGTAGAATTATATTTGCTAAAATTTACTTTTTAAAGACATTATATAAGCAGAAAATATCATTAATTATCATTAGTTTTTTTAGAGGAAGGAGTAAGAATTTCCATTTCTCAAAGGACAGGTAAAAATACTTCGTAATTTTCTTTAAATCAATAGATTTTTAAATCAACAAATACTGACACCTTTTATATACAAAGTATATTATATATATATATTTTATATACAACATATCTTTTATATACAACATGTAATTTTATTTTCAACCTAAACTGTAATTTCCTTTTAATATCCTTTTAATTCACCATTACTGGGGAAGGCTAAATTTTCAGAACTTGTTCACTGGTAATAAATAAAATTATGCAATGCATGAGAAAAAAATTATTTCACTTTGGTAAACTAAGTTAAAATCACATTTGTATCACTGAGACACATCTACTGCAATATATCTATCAAAGAATTTTATTTGGAAGGGACATCAATGGCAATATAATTACACTTATTTAACAAAAACATATAAGAGGTGAGTGGCAATTTAAAATACCTATATATACAAATTTGGTTAATTGCTATAGAAAAGCATTTTCACAGCAAGAAAAAAATAGTTTAGAATAGACCTTTGCTATTCTATACTGAGTACTGTATGAGTCTATGAAGTGGAATTAGTTAAAAGAGATTTGGAAGCTAACTTTTCAGAATTAATTGAATAATTTCTTCTCTATTATGCATTCAAGAAGACACCTACATCTACTCTGTGCAAGGCATTGTGCTACAGATGCTGGGAATACAAAGGTAAAAAAAAAGAAAAATAAAACAAATAGTTCCTGGTACTCAAGGACAAAGGTTTCCACACCATGGAGAGTGGATGGCAAGGGAGTATAGGGGGATGGTGTGGTGTGTCATGATGGGCCTCCTGTAGGATGCAGCATTTGAACTGGCACTAAAATAGGCTTGGGATTGAATGAGACAGAAGGCAGACTCCATGCTAGGCATGGGTGACAGCCTGGACAAGAGGAAAGACAGGAGATATAATGGCATGTTCAAAGAACAGCAAATGGGTTTGTTTGGATGTAACACAATGCATGGAGAGAAATATGCAACATTTCTATAAAAGTAGGATGAAGCCAGATTATAATGGGCTTTAAATATCAAAGGAAAGAGTTTGTTTTTTATCTTATCCTCAAGAACCAATCAAGGTTCTTGAACAAGGGACTGACTTAAGTCAGAACTGTATTTAGGAACAACAATTTGGAAGCTACATGGAAAATGAACTGGAAAGGTGAGAAGCTGGAGATGATATTTCCTTAATGTGATGTAGCCTACATAAACTGAGGATCCTCTCCAAACCCAGTTCCATTAATGAGTAGTTCCCCAAGCTGGCTATATCACCTCCCTTAGATTTTTAAAAGTAGCCCTGGAGGGTCAATAGTGATTCTATAATGCCACAGACTTGAGACACCATTGGTGCGCTTATCTCCCAAAATTATCTGTTGAAAATTGACGTAATTAGTTAGCCTTAAGAAGTCTTTAGAGATATTTTCTTAGGTAGTACATTAAGCCCAGTTGGTACAAAACATCCTGCAAAAAATTCTCTGCGTGACAACCTTTCCCTCAATTGCAAAATCCAGAGAAAAAGGGCCTCAAGCTTAGAGACCACAACGCCAAAAGAATAACTCACAACTCCTGATTACTTGAAGCCTTTTTTTTCCTACTAATAGAGTTCTTCAAAAGCTCCCTTTAGGCACAGTGTTGTCTAAAAATTTGCTGGGTTCCTTGAATATGTACTCCTTGAGCACCAGCTGATCTGGGAATGCCATCTAGAACACCGATGGGCAGATTGCAAGCCTAACGTCCTTCATTTGAAGCTGAAAAGTCTTCTTCTGGTCAAACAGGTTGGTGGACCAAGGAGACACCTGGCCAAGGACCTTCCTTCCACCCCATGGAAGTTCCTGATTAGGAATGTACTAAAAAGCCAAATGTTCAATTTTCTTTAAAATTGCTACCTTTCTCAATTTTTTGACATTTTACTTTATAGATGATCCTTGGTACTTTGTCAAGTTTCCCTGGACTATCATAACACAATTCTTATTGAAGGTCTTTTTATATTTAGTTTAAGAACTTTTGATTGACTGATTGATTTACTGAGATGAGTTCTCTCATCCAGTTAAGGTATCATGGGGTATATGGTGGTTTCCATACAGCCTTTATACTCACCTCCAAGTTTTAATATTTTCTGACCAGTGCAAACCTCCTAGAATTTGTTTGGCAAAGGTAAATTAAAAAAAAAATCTCCCCCAAAAACCATCTAAAAGAGTGACTCTGTGACTTTGGGAGGGTTTGATGTTCTTTTTTAATATACCTTCCCCACTGCCTCATACTAAAGATCCTCTAGACAAGTATATTTGACATAATTCATAATCAAACTTTATAATAAATATCCTTATGTACTTCCAGATACATGTAATACAAATTAACAAACATATTTTTTACAAAGTTCTAGTGGTTTACTCTGTTTGCCAAAAGGTCTTTCCCAACATAAAACAATAAAAGAAAAGAAAGAAAAGGAAGACAAAATCAAGCCTACTTTCTCAGACAGAAAGTCTATTTTTCAACAGAATTTCCTGATCATCTGGGCCTCTCCCCACAGGGATGAAGTCACCTCTTCACTCTTACGTGAGAAACCAAATTGTCCTAGGTAAAAAAAAAAAATTTCCATAATTTCCATATTACATAAGGTTATCCTAACTGGAATCTAGACAAAATTCTCTAGATATCCCATTCTATAGAAGGCACACCAAAATTTGTCTAGCGGTCCCCAATCACTTTGAGATCCAGGTAAATTTCCTCTGTGTCCTTAGACCAAAGGGCATATGAAATTTCTCCCAAAGGATCCCTTCCACTGAAGGCAATACTCCTGGAATTTCAAATTCACTCAATAATAGAACAAGTAGTCCCAGTTAGAGACTAAAGAAAATAAGATCAAATATACCTAAACAACTGTGAGGCTCCCAAGGAAAAGAGTCAAGCACTTTAGGATTGGGAGAGGAGTTTTCTAGGCAACCAAGCTTTTTATCCTATGGACCTATTGTACAAAAGGAACTCAGAAAAGCCAACTGGGTTCATGTAACAAGGCAAGCATTAAAACTGCTTAAAACTAAAAAAAAAAGGGGGAGAAAATGAAAATATCTAAGCTATCCTGGAATGCTTTAAGTAAACTGCTAGACACCAGTATGTATCTTAGGAATACAAACTTCATACTTCTCATATTAGCCTTAAAATCAATATCTATATAGGTTTCATAATACAGCAAGGTATCAGCAACCACTCGATGAATGTACAAATGTTAAAGTCTATAAAAATTGTCTTAAAAGGAACTGGTCTGACTTTTATAGAAACACACCTAAAAAACTAATTATTCACAATTGCAATTTAAAACAAGAGGAAAAAAATGCAACTTTTTTCTAGTGGATTTATATTATACAAGATTTAAAGCCTTGGGTGGAAAGTCTCTCCAATGGGTTCCTGAAAATTCAAATGGCC